TGTGGAGCAGGAAAACTTCTGTGGACCATCAAGGTGGTGAAGTTCTTTACCAGTACTGTGAGTACATTCACCTGGCTATAGCTGCCGCTGCTGCACCAGGTTTGGCGTTTTGACTTTTATTGAGCTGTCAAGCTCAGTTTTTGTTGTGTTTACTTTACTCGAACTTGGGACAGATAGAGAAAAAACCCAGAGTGGAGTTTATGATTTTGGACTTATTTGGAACTGAACTGAACACAAGATTATCTAAGTTTACATTCAAATTATTGTTTGCTGTGATAATTGTTTTTCTTTTTTTTCACAATTGTGCAACAATACATTTGAGTTTTGAAAGAAACTGGTATTTTTGGGTTCATTTCATTTAATGTTTAGGGTGATGAGCACTGTTATATGCTTGCATCCTTTGTGAGGTTGTTGTGTTTTCAAGGCTAATATTATGAAGAAAAATCTAATGTGTCAGGAGGGAGACCTGACTGGCACCCCCTCAGACTTCGATTTCATGAACCTGTCACAGTACAGATACTTAACCCTTTTGTGTATAGAGGTCACTACAGTGTACAGCTGTTTAAAAGTGGTTTTTTTTTTCTATATATATGCCTGCAATTTTGGGCAGTGTTGCATATAATCCACTCTAGTGGAAGCTATTACATCATCCCATACAAAAAAAAAAATCCTATTGGCTGGTCATTGCAATGGGAAAAAAGTCAGTGAAACCAAGATGGCTGACAGATGGAGAGAACAACCAAACACCTCGGCTATTTCAGTTTCTACCTTCCATAAAAAGATACCATTGCAGGTAAAAACAAATATATAATTACATCAAGAAACATCTAAGGTGACATATTATGTAAAGATTTTCCAAGTTTTTAGTTTATATTTGTAGAAAATACAGATTAAACTCATGTCCGCTCAATTGTACATCATGCATCACTGGCTATGTTTTAACTTCAATACAGTGTCAGGTATTACCAATGATGTTCTTGAAAATAATTCATATCCTATACAGTTTTGGTTGTAAATCAACTTTATAGTATTAAAATGTAATTAGATTTTTTTATATATAAATTTTATACACTGTCTGGCCAAAAATTATATTTTATAAATGCTATAACAGAGATTGGTATGAGAGAATATGCTCAGTTCGGAGACTCAATGTAGTTATCGAGGTTTGACAGGCGAAAGTGAGTGGCAAGAGGTTATGGGTAATGTAGAAGAAATGTAGCAGGGTAACCCACCCTAGCCTGGCCCTTGCCTTCCTACGCAGCTCCGATCAATTCTAGTTTCCCTTCACTGCTCCGTCTGGGACTTCTCCCATTGAAATGGATTTCGCTGGCAGATTTTTAGCCGGGCCAATCAGAGAACAGAACGTCAATTTTCTGGGCAGTGTCTCTTGTAGTTTATTTTACCTGGGCCAATCGGCAAACAGAAGGAGGAGTTTTGAATGTCGATGTTCTGCGCAGAGTCTGCTAGTTATTTTAGCATTCGGCAGTGGAGGAAGTGAATGAAGCCAGTCTGTGTTGATAAGGCTTCCAAATTAAAATAAATATGTCTGACAAAGCAGCAGCTCTCATTTACAGTCGTCTCGTTCGGCTCGGTGTATTTCTCCTCTCAGTAGGGTTGTTTACAGAACACGCGATTTCCGGTTAGCTTCTTAGCTTAGCCTCCTTCACAGCGACAACACATACATGCTTCAGCAGAGGCCACGCCTCCTTCAAGAAACGATTCTCTATGCATCAAGTCCAGACCCCAGTACGAAGCAAAGTAAAGGACAGGGTTTGGTTTTAACCAGGCTAAACCCACCCTAGCCCATGGACTATTAATTTTATTTACTTTTATCGTCCTGCAGACTCAGTGAAAATATATTTGAAGCTGAATTTTTGAAAAAATCGTGAGATTGCTCTAAATATCGGTAAACCTGCAAAATGAGGGAAAATCTGTCAACAATGGACAGTTTGTTCATGTGAGCAGTTGTCAGTACCTGTCATACTCCAGACACACAACGGAGTGCGTGACTGAGTCGACCAAATACTTTTGTTGACACGATCAGCTGACTCGTTTAAATACATCTTAACATTCATGAGTCATTTGCATTGACTGTTTATGGTTGAGTGTGGGCGTGTGGAGGGTAGAACCTGAGGCGGGACCTCGTGCGCAAACTCTGACGTGCAGCTGTAAGAAAAATTGCTTGTAGGTGTGCGTGCGGAGAGTTTTAGAAATCTGAATTTTTTTTGGTGAACGTAATTTTTGCCTCTTGGCTGTATATTCACTTTTAGTAGGATTTCCACACAATCCTTATAAATGCGACCTCAGAGCTTTATGTACAGGGAGTATATTGATGGGGAAACGCAGGCGGATGAAACACCTGTTAACACCAGAAAAAGTGCCGGTACACACCAGATTCAAGGGTAAAATTTAGAAGTAGTGGTACTGCGTACTGGTGCATWCCGGCCCACTTAAAGCACTGCCTCAGAGTGTGAAATCGTTTGACTATGTGTTCCTATGCAATCTCTAAAATTATTTAGGCATAATCTACAGTTGCAATTCCCTGAACTACAACTTGGTCCTAGACCAATTCCTCAACACTACCAGATACTTCTTTAAAATGCACCTCACCATGTATCTGCAGGTCTGTGGTCTTCTCCCAGGTGGGATTCTGTCACTACCTGAAGAGCTGGTGCATCCTGGCCCCAGTGACGTCAATTCAGACCCAGGGTCTTTCGGTCAGTAAATGCACCGATTGCAGGACGCCTCCTCCTATTGGAGAGATATTGGAATCCAGGACCGAGCCTCCAAGTTGTTGGGTAAATTATTTATCAAGCTACCACAAAATATGAAGGAGGACACATACAGCAGCAGATGAAGTTTAAGCTTTTTTATTTGCATGCAGTGAGTCCGTGATTACAGACAGTACAGTCAAACACATCAGCAATTATGAACTAACAGATGTAATTTCCTCATTATCAAAACTTTCAGTTACAGAGCCTATACTTGCAAATGTCTTTGCAAGAAATAAAGACGTGAACCTCAGTTTCACTCCTGAAGGTGATAAGTTTATGATGCACAGTAAAAAATTAAAGAAAAGCTTTCCACTGTTGCACAACACTTACAGAGTTCGTGCACCATAAAATAACCTACTGGCCTTGATGACCTCTTAACAAAGATCACAGTATTTCCAACAAAAAGAGCTGGAGGAAACCCAATATTAGCTTAACAATGTTTAAACTGCTTAACTATTACTTCAAAAATACAAAAGAAAAAAAAAACACCAAAACAGTTGAACAAATATGGAGTAAATACATCAAACCTAAAAGACTTACACTAAAGTTTAAATAGCTATACAAAAGTTAAAAAGGGTTAAACCAATAGTTTAACAAGCCAAAAAAATCTGAACAGTTGTAAATGATGAAATGACACTTTAAAGTTAAAAAAGAGCTGAAGAGAACCTAAAATCAGTTTAACAAATGTTAAATTGGTTAACAACTAGTTAAAAAATACAGAACGTTTTAAAAACAGTAAAAAAAATGTGTAATAAAGTAAAGCAAACACAAAAACCTTAAACTGAACTATAAATATATGTACAAAAGTTAAAAATGGTTAAAAAANAATCAAAAACAGATTTAGTGAATTTACTTGTTCTACTCAACTGAGTAAAGGTAACACATTTACTTAAAGTAAATATAAAGTCATTTTTAAACAAACTAAATATTTATGTTTTCTTACCAGAAAAATTAAACAAAATCAATAATTTAACACATTTCCGTTCATAATGCAGATTATTAAATCAGTTTTTTCTCCGTTTTCATTGTTTTCTAAAATTCCAGCTTTATGATGCTACATTTTATTTTCACCTGAAAATATCTCATCATATGCTGAGTTGATCAAATATCAGTAATTAAATGGGAAAATGTTTTATGAATAGTGACAAACTAAATAGAAAGTTTCAGTTTTACAGAACCTCTGATCATCAGGAAAGTGCTTCAAAATCTCCCTGCAGAACATATTTGTTTCATATGAGAGAAAAGTTCTTTTAGTTAAATCAAACAGCTAAACGTGAATTTAAAGTTTAGCCTTGTGTCATAATTATTCCATTAAGTAAAGGTGTAGTGTTTATGTTTTATAATCAGTCTTTTTTAATCCACTGCAGCTAATTCAGGAAAGAAGGAAATCTGGTGGAAAAGAATATCATGGCAAATGGCAGTGTATGTATGAATGAATGAATACATAGAGCAGAAATCTACTTTGGTCTCAGCATCACCCAGAGTAGATATTAGCTCATTAATCTGGTCAAAACTGAACTATTTTTGCAAAGTGAAGTTGCTCAACGAGCCTATCTACAACAGGTAAGATATTATCTGTTTATAACATTTCCACAGAACTCCAATTCAAGAATTTTAAGGATCATTTTTTAAATGAAAAAACAAAAATTCTGCGACCTATAATGGACTCCAATTATTCGTTTTTAGTCATTTTTTGAAAGTACTAATTAAAATAATTCCGCAGTTACAAAAGCAAGCTTTAAAGAGAAAACAATGTTTTATATGCTTTAAAATTAAAAGTCATACTTTTGTATAAACTCGTTGGTTTGATTTCTTTTAGATCAAAGGACGAAGCACTGCATTGCTCCAAACTGAATTCAGTTTTCAGAAGCAGATTCTGTAACTTTCACATTTTCAGCCCTCTCTGTGAGGAAAGTTATTTCCAGGAAAATCCTGCTTTAAATGTATTTGATGGTGCTTGGACATGTCAGAGGCTCTGTATAAATTCTTAAAATAACTGCCTGTAAGTGAAGACACAGCTGCCAACAGATGAGTTTCACAGTTATTTAGCTGGATTTGTTCTGGACACAATTTAAGTTCCTTAATGATTCAATTTTGATATAACTGAATGTGTATACGTTTGATTTTGTACCTTATGAGCAGAGTGTTGGGCTGCTTATTTCCACCCTAGCTGGTGGATTGTGGGATGTAATTTCTGTGCAACAATTATTAACCTTCAAACAAAAGTCCAACTATGACCCAAAGTCTTTATTTTTCTGCCACACGTTCGTACCGTTTGACAAATGGGTCTGATTTAAGTTCAACTTGTGCTTGTGTCTACATGTGTCAGAGTAAAATGTTCTGCTGAAAGGAAAGCAGCAGCAAACAGAGCAGGTCAGGAGAAAATCTTCTGTCTGATGAAGTTTAACTGATGATCCAACCAGAGCTTTAGCTTCCTGTCACCATCTGTAAATATAAAATCAGATTCAGTTTAGAAGGAGAACTTCATAGTGATAAATTCTCCAGATTCACCTTCAGTAGCCGTGTTTCAATCCAATTTTAATTCTCGCCCGCGATGCTAGCGAGCTATATCCACCCTGAAGGTTAATCTTGGACAATATCTGACGATCGACTCTTTTAAACGAAACCAGAGAGCGTTGACAGAGAGGAGAAGGTAGAAATGACTCAGCCTGGAACTGAAAATATYGATGGAGGACAACAGAGCTGCTTCATGGAAGAAGAACCTCAGCTTAGCCTGTTAGCTTTAGCATTAGCCCCGATGCTATCACCATATATATGTATTAGCTCAGCGATACACATTCTCCTCTCGTCACTGAGGTCCTCCATCCACATGACAAAGAGGGGAACACAAAAACGACAGTCTGTAACTGAAAATATGGATGGAGGACCTCAGTTTAGCTTGTTAGCTTTCGCGCTAGCGCCAAGCTAAATCATTTAAGGCAATATAGCATCGGAGCTAAAGCTAATAGGATAAGCTGAGGTTCTTCTTCCATGAAGCAGCTCTGTTGTCCTCCATCCATATTTTCAGTTACAGGCTGAGTCATTTCTACCTTCTCCTCTCT